TAACAGCTGCATTTTTTCATTCATCAAATATTTTCTTTTTTTTTTCTTCTTTTTTTGATGACTTTAAACCACATTGCGTATTCCATCACAAAATGACTCTAGTTTTTATTCAATGAATTCCTGAAGGTATATTTTCAAATTTTGAACCTATTGGAATTGCTAATCAAAGACTATTGCATGAAGCAAGACAAATGAATATAAAGGTGACAGATTTTGATGTGGAAGAACTATCTATGATCATTTACTGCACCATATTTGTAACATGAGGATATAAGTCATTATGCAGTAAAATCACTAGTCCACTTCCTTGTTACATGTACACACATGCATATATATATATATATATATATATATATATATATATATATATGTGTGTGTATGTGTGTGCACACACATATATAATTTAATTAGCAATACATTGATATCAAGTCATCAGCACTTTTTGTTTTAGATATTATGATTGCAGATGCAGTACTTTTCTCTTCCAATACCTCATGCCTGCAAGCCAATTGGAATTGGTCACTACACTGTTGTCCAATGATAATTCAAGAGTTCATCACTTTGTAATAAAAAAATCCCTTTAAATCTCAACAAATATAGAGAAGAACTTTTCCCTTCATCTTCTCCCTGCTAGATTCCATTTTCACTATTTACATTATTCAGACTGTTGTCCTCATCTTCGTTGGCATATTCATGACATTTTAGCAGTTGTACACGCCAGCCTTATTCAGGTGACTGGAATTTCAAACTGAACCCTTTATTTTGTCCACTTGGGTAGATTGTTCTATTTCCACATGCTATGCCTCTTTCGGATCTCACTCTTTATCATAATGTGCTGCATATATTTATTTATTGTATTAATTTGTAATTTTTCTTTTTTGACAGGCTTTTTTAAAAATCTATTCTGTATATATTATATTTTACTTCAAATATTACTGTAAGATAAGTATTTTGAGAAAAAGACCATTTTACTATAGCAAAAATCTTAAGCTTTTACGATATGAAAGATCTTTCAATTTCACTTTTAATGATCATTATCTTAAAGGGATAAACTAGCTTTTATCTTGCTGTTAAATACGAATTTAAATAATTAGGTGCTACTTTTTACCCAGATACACACAAATATTTTTTTAAAAAAATAATTTCAATAAACAAATATTGAAATAAGAAAACTTTTAAATTTAGATTTAGTAATTTAATCACTTGAAATTCAGTGGTTATTATTAGTCCTATTCTACTTTATAATACTGCTAATTAAAATACTTAAAGTATTGCTTGTTACTATTTTTACTTGTATTTTTTCAGTGAAATGTCTGTCGGCCAAATGTCCTTCCATGGATAATTCAAAGATTTTCCTGATGTGCAAAACATAGCACTGGGAATTTTTGCATTAAACTAATGTTTGTGTTTATATTTAAAGTTCAAATTAAAGAACTTAAAAAAAAGTCTGTTTGTTGCTTCACTCTAAGAAACACTTGTAATTCCATACTTTTTAAAACTAAAAGAATTTGTGATTTTTGATAAATTCTACTTGAATTTTAAAGCTTCTTTCCTTAACTTGTAAGACACTCCTTCCTTCTGACTCAAGAGAAATAAACTCATTTTTTTAATGTTATTCTAACTTGAATATCTTAAAATTAAGGATAAACTACCATTTTATATAGATTTTACCATTGTATATAAGCCTCTGCATTTTTTATCATATCAAATTATCTGAATCTTAAACTTTTAATAACAGTAGCAAAAAATCTTGCAAGATTATTAATCTGCTCTGATTTAAACTGATTTCAAGATCATAATTAACTTTTAATTAATGACAATCATGATTATACTATTAAAAGATAGTGAATATAAAAATAAAAGTTGGAGACATGTAATCTGATGTATTGTTCTATGACACATGATCAGTAGTCAACTTCTCCAATTGTTTGGGATATCCCATAACAGAAATTTATGCCATATAATCAATCTGATATTTACAAATATCTAATATATAAAGTTCAAAGTTTGTGTGCATGTGCCTGAAAATAAAGCTGGCTGTCTCTTCATGTGAATGCAAATGTTATGTAAAACTATAACATCAAGTTTTAACATTTAGACCCACTGGCACACCTTATCTTTCAAAACTAAGCAGTTTTTGCTTAATGAAAATAACTAATTTGCACATTTACCTTTAAAATAAACTTTTAGAAATAACTTTTATTTCCAATCTTATTTTTTTTGATTTTATAAATAAGTAATTGCTGATTGTGTTAATAATTTATTTACTTAGTTATTTGAATAAAGCCATTTTCTACCTTTGATGGTTGTCATTTGACAACCACCTGAGCACTTAGATCTCAGCTTTGAAGTAAAGGGAAGTAAAGAATGATGATATTTTTTAATAGTATATTTTGTAAAATGAATGAATATTATACCATGCCATATATGAAATAAATGCCTCAAGGTGATTAAACCAATTGCTAATAATACAATTTTACAGCTGTACAAACCATTTCAAAGAAACGACTGCATAGTGCAGTAGAGTAAAAGAAAGGGACTTAGCCTACACAGTGCCAGATATCATTGTTAGAAAAAACAATATAAACAAAATCAACCTCGCTTGACTATTTCTGGATCAAATAGTATTTAAATTTGTATTTAGGATTTACTTCTATCCTTTGTTTTTAAAATTGCTTGATGTATATAGTATTTTGTTTTTCTCTCTAAGCATAAAGATAATATAGGGACTGACAAGCACCATGGGTATGGATAGCTTATGTATTGCCTTGGCTTGCATTATCAGATTTTTTCTTGTTATTAAGCCAAAGCTTCATGTTCACCTGTTGCTTGTCACTTCTTGGTCAGACTGAGAAATGTTCAGCACATGCACTTGTCTATCAATGTATTATCTTCTATGTGTCATGGCTCACCACAATTTCCTATCCTTTGTAGCTCTTGGTAAGGTTCATCTTTTTACTATCCTTCCCAATCCCTGTTCTTCTATTCATTTACATAAGCTCATTAGGTAGGTTACTCGTTGTTTTCCTCTCTTCCTTTTGTCTTCAATATATCCTGTAACTGTCAAATTCTCCAAACTCTCTTTCCTCTTTGTGTCCTGGAAATTTATATTATCTTCTTCTGATTAAGTATAAGTGTCCTATTTGTTTCCGTTTTCCTTAAAACTTCCTCATTGCTCACATGTTCAGTCCATGCTATGCTCAGAATCCATTCGTAGGACCACATTTCATGGCTTATACAAAAGCTATAGGAATGTTTTTTTCCTTTCAATATCAAAAATGTTTTCTTTAGAAACTAAATTGAAATCATGAGAAGATCTTACTGCAAAAAAGTAAAATTATGCAGTTAATATCAATTTTTATTTGGGTGATTTCATTTTTCGAATATGCAAATTTGTATCACCTAAAATCATTTTCTTCTAATTCTGTATATAAATACAAAAATGAAGTAAATTTTTTAAAGCAACAAAATATATTTTTAAAAAATGCATCTCTGTTTTATTTCAGTTACAAACACAACGAAAATTTTTAGATGCCTTTTTTTTCTTTTTTCTTTTTTTTTTTTTAAAAATCCTCAAACAATATGAGCAGTATTAGACTGATGCTTCAACATGTATTGTTTGTTTAGTGGCATATCAATTCCATAGGGGTCATTTAATACTGAAATTTAATTTTTTTGGCAGCATTAGTACTTTCTTTTACAAACGTATATTGCGGGTAATATTTTTTCTTTTACAAAAATGCATTGCTGGTAATTTTTTTACTATAAAAATGTATTTTTATACTTTCATAGTGTTTTGACCCCAGTTTGGGGGGGTTAGCTATTTGTCCATAGCTGGGTCCCTAACAGGTGCTACAACCCCAGGTCAAGGTAGAGCTGGGAACAACAGCAATTAACAGGTGGTTCCATTCTCCTCAAAACCTCCTGATCAGAGAACTTGCTGTCAGATGTAGTTTATCGTCATGCGATGGAGTAGTAGGTAGCAAGCTAATCTTTCAAACCATTTCATTTTTGCCTAGCTGTACTGACCGATTTTGGGAAAAAATAGGAAATTGACCTTTTACAGTTTGTATTGTATGTTCCTATATGACTTTCTTTACACTATTTACATTATTCGGACTACTGTCTTCATCTTTGTTGCCATATTTATTACAACGTTTCAGCCGTTATACACTCCAGTCTTCTTCAGGTGGTTGGAATGTTGAACTGAACCCTTTATTTCGCTCACTGGTGTAGACTGTTCTAGTTTCAAGTGCCATGTTTAATGGATGTCAGTTATCAGTTATCTCCTGTTAATTCCCCTCTGCAAGTTCTCCACTGCTTTAACTAGGTATTGAACTCACACTCTTTGGGTCCTGTCACTGGGTCCTGAAGAAGGCCAGAGCATACAACGGCTGAAACGTTGTAATAAATATGGTGACAAAGATGAGGACGATAGTCCAAATAATGTAAATAGTGTACATGATACCTCATCTCAGAAATATAGACAGATGGCTTTCTTTGTTTGGGAATAGAACTGTGTTATTTTATAACCTATATTTTAGTGAGTGACAGTTCACTGTGTCTTCAAAACATATATGTAATGTAACAGGCAATGTGAGTTTAATCAATGCATATAAGTTCATTCAGTGTTAATACCTTGCAATGATAAAACGAACACAGATTAACTTAACTGAAGCTTTATTCAACTTAGACTGGACTGTGTCCTACTGTAGTTACTTAAATACAGAATGCATATCAGGGGAGATAATTTAATTGACTCAATATAAAATAAATTTAACACAACATAAATATTAATCTTTGGAAGGACTCAAAACTTCATATTTTTTAGAATTAAATGACCTCTTTCATCATATTTATTACCTTTCTAAACAATTTTGACAGCATTAATAATCTTTGAGTTTCTTTTCAATTTGCTGCTTTTTAATAACATGTGTATATATATTTTTGTTTTCTTCCACAGAACTAGGAGAGGTGATCACCTCTCAGAGGGGGTCAAAATGGCTTTTCTACACAAGGGCATATCTCGACTCCAAGCTGAGAAGCGTCTGTTGCAAAATAAGGAGGATGGAAGTTTCCTTATACGAGAAAGTGAAACCGTACCAGGAGCTTACGTGCTCTGTCTTCTGTATGTATACAAATGTTTTTTCTTTCTCTAACTTTATCTTGCTGATTAAGGCTTATTCAAAATGCTCATCTATTTCTTTCATCTTTCTATTGAATTACACTTTATTATTTACATTACAAATGTTCATAAATATAAAAAAAAAAAAGAAAAAAAAGGAAAATAAAATTGTTGTTTTTTCATCTTGACATAAGAATTCTCTTTCGTCCAAAAGAAAATAATATTCAGTACTTATGTAATCCATATCTGTATTAAAGAGAAATTATTTTTCATTTTCTTTATTCAATTTTTATTCTTACTGTTCTATTCATGTTTGTAATTTCTACTTTTGTGTGGTTGATATACAAATCTGAAACATTGATATTCATTTTTTTGATTTTGGTATCATTGATAGAGACTCTTCATTTTTGACTTTCGTATCACTAATAGAAACCATTCATTTTTTGATTTTAATATCATTGATAGGGACCATTCATCTTTTTTATTTTAGTATCATTGTTAGGGACCATTCATTTTTTGACTTTGTTATCATTGACAGAGACCTTGTTTTTTTTTTACTTTAATATCATTGATAGGGACCATTCATTTTTTGACTTTGTTATCATTGACAGAGACCTTTTTTTTTTTTTTGACTTTAATATCATTGATAGGGACCATTCATTTTTTTATTTTTTATTTTTTTTATTGATAGGGAACATTCATTTTTTGACTTTGTTATCATTGATAGGGATCATTCAGATGTCATGACTACTATTTTGTTTGACTATTTATATGAATTTAGTAAAAGATAAATAAAACAGATATGTGTCTTTTTACAGTAAGCAAATGAAATGCATGTAAAGCTTCCATTACCAGAAAAACAGGTTACCTTTGAAAAGAAAAAAAAAACAAGCAAAAAACCTTCTTTAAGTGTCTGTTGATTTAGATGAAGGTTACCTGGATCAACAGACACCTGGAAAAAGCCAAAGAGCACAATGACCAAAACGTGATAATAACAACAAAGATAAGGACATTAAAAGTCAGAATGTAAATAATTTTAAAGACTACTATGAAAACATGTCCAGTGTCTCATTTGTGGCTATAGAAACTTTGGTGACCATTGCTCTAATCATGCTTGATTTGTCAATGATAGATAGACATATGGACAAAAAATATATTTGATGAATTATGCCAGTTTGGCAAACACTTAAGAACTGGTTGTGCTTTTTGCACACTTGTTTTTTTTTTCCATGTCAACACAGGTGCAACAAACCAAATAAATAGAAATTCATCATCATACTCATTTCTTCAAGTTATTTAACCAATCCTACTCAGTGTATAGATTTTATATATATGTATCATACCAGAATAGAATTTGCACTCAATATCACAAAAAGACTATCAAGGGAGACAGGAACTGGGTTGACCTGAAGTTACACCCAGTATTCCAAATGCAAAATCATGTGACCTAACAGTTGCATATTAGTTTTCAACTGTGGGAACAAGCTGCATGACAGACAGACATATAAACAACCACCCCAGACAAGAGTTAGAGAGTCTCTCAAAATTTGCAGACAAGAATATAAAGTCCATGTTCAAATGAGTGCTATGGGCCCCATGCTCTCACACTAGCTGAGAGTAATTGATGAAACAAAGAGTTGGATAAAATGTAATGTTAAATATGAATGATGGAAGAAAATTATATAATTTTTTTATATACCAGAAAAAATTTAAGGAAAATCATTGACAAAGTGGAAAAATCTTAACTATACATGCATATGAAGGAGAGGAGACATTGAAATTTTAATCTTTTAAATTTTTTTTTTTTTTTTCTTTTAAATATGTGTTTAGATATATTGTCTAACCTATTTCATTTACTTTCATTATCTTTTTGCTTATATTTTTATCACTCTTGCTATTAAGTATCCCTCATTATAATAATAGATCTGCCAAGAAAGGTGAAATGTTTTAAAAAGCTGGGCACAAATTTACTGTGGAGGATCTAGCAATTAAAGTACATATTATCCAGAGTAAATTTGCATCCAAGTTTATTTCACCTTTCTTAGTAGATCTTACATATATCTAATAATCAAATTAATGATAAAGCTTAAATCATTATGATTAATCATAATGACCAAATTAATTCTTTATCATATTTTTAAAACATTTCATCTTTCTTGGCAGATTTTCTATTACAATGTGTAGTGTACTTCCCCATATGTAATGCAACAGGGTTAATAAAATGTAGATTTACCACAATTACAAAGTACTGGGATACAAAAGTAGTTGACAATTCCATTAAAAGTATGATACTGGTAACCATTGCCAGAGTGCAACAAAACGAGCCTACTAAAGATTGGTGAAGAAATCAAAAAAGAAAATGTAGATCAATGCAAATTCCTTGGTGATTGGAGTCTTTTTAGAAGTGAGTGAGCCTGGTTGATGATGCATGCAAGATGTATGCAACAAACAATGTGGAGCATTTTAATGTGGCAGAATTTGATGCTGTATAGAAAGGAGTTAAGCAGGTTCTTCAATGGCAAGCTGAGGTGTTGCATCTGAGGACTGATTCCCTCAGAGTATCAATGATGATAAGGTGAAGTTGAAAACTACAGAATCTAGTGAGTTTAATTTTATGCAATTCTTTAATGTAACCCATTAACTGCAGATGATGGCAATTTCTGTTATTATAATTTTTATAACTCAACAGCAAATGATGGGATTTTTTACCATAGTTACTAGGTGAATGAAATATATTTAAATATATTTGTCATATCAATTTGGCTACTCTTTATAAATTCCCTAACCCCAGTATGAACAATTTGCCCTCATGAGTCAAAAATGTTCTATTTTAAAGCATCTGAAGGTCAATGAATGTCAGTTACAGTACCTGATAAAGACTGGAATGTCTAGAGATAAATAAATAAAAAAAAAATTTACCTTTTTAAAAAAGAAATAATTATTACTTTTATTTTAGGTCACTAAAGAATTTATTATAAAAATAATGGTGTTCAGAAAGTAACGTTGCATTAAATTTATTTTTAAACAAATTAAAATGTAATGTTTTTGTTAGACCAAAAATGGAGTACTTCTGTGATATTTGGGTTGGAGCAACCCAATTTTTACTTTCCAGCCTGGACAGAGTTTAGAATTATTTTCCACCTTACAACTCCTTTCCCAACAGATGAAACCTTGCAAACCTCTCACTACTCTATTGTTATTTCAGTGGCAAATGTTCAGACATGCTACATTCCATAGTTCTGCCATTTCAGACGTCAACTAAACACATACCAGACCACATACACAAATAAGTCAAATAATCTTTATTCCCATCATATTCCATTTGTAAGAAGGAAGTTTCACTTAGACATCTATCCAAGAACTGCTGCTTTGTGGAATAGGCTCCTTAGAAGATATTTCCCTGATGACTGCAATCTTACCTTAGATCATCAAATCTATGGTCAACCCTTACCTAGCCTACATACGCTCATGATCTGCATTTCTTACCTCCTTCTCTTACATGCATACAATAACCTTACTCAGTAACCCTCTACCTTGAGTGACTCTTGGGCTTTGTATTGAGTGTTTAAAAAAAAAAGAAGGCTTATGGCCATATATTCAAACACTGGTTCTCATATGATTACCAAAGTTAAGCAATGTCGAGCTCGGTCAATACCAAGATGGGTAACTGCTTGGGAATTGCATGTGCGGTAAGCTTGGACATGCAGATGGCATAATGGATAGTGGCTTGGAAATCAAAAAGCCAAGTTCCAATTTCAGTCAGGTTCATTATATTCATTTAGGTTTTGGGGAAAGGTACAAATCCGCCTCTTCTCCCCACTACTGCAGGTTAAATAGTAGTATCAGTAAATCATTATTATCCCCCCAAAATTGTTAAAATCTAAAAATATTTGTTGGCTTAAATAACCTGAAAAAGGTTGATAGTCCTTAAAAAGAAATCAATCAATTAAAAAATAAATAAATAAAAGCTTACTAGGAAAGTAAATTATTTTATTCCTCTATGAAAGACACTGATATTATGGCGGTGGAGGTGGGGGGAGAATCCTGAAAGTTCTGTACTGTATTAACCTCTTCCTTCCTTTTAAGGATTTCTTTACTAAGAAAATATTCCAGTATTCTTATTAAATGGGAATCATAAGATATTAAGTCAATTAGTAATGCATGGTAGAATATCCCAACTTAAAAAAAAAATTGATTTTCTTAGCTTATTTCTCTGAAATAATGCTTGTATTGTCATTCTGAAGAACTATTTCTGTTGACAAAATCATCAAATGTTTTTTTGTCAGTTTTCACTCTTAACTTCTTCTTGACTATGCAGGACTATGATTGTTGTCTTATTCTGAGAGCACATAAAATCTCTAACATACCACCAACTGCTCACCAAGACCTAACAGAAGTGGAGCTTTGGTTTAGATGTTGACAGGTGTTTTTTTTTTTATCCAAGATCTTAGCTAGAATAAAAATATTATCTTCCTAGTGGGTTTGTATCATTGCTAATAATGATTATATTGCTGACAAATAAGTTTAATGCTTGTTACATTAGGATAGGTTTTTATTTTCTCTCAAAAATATAACATTTTAAACAACCTAATATTTTGCTACCTCATCTGTGTATTAATAGATAAAAATGTTTGTTAAACATTATCAGTATAAATGTGCTTATAGGTATTGATGGTTTAAATAAAAAAAATTGAAAAATATCTAAAGGAAAACTATTCATTTGGCTAGTAGAAAAAAGGCAAAAGTCTGGATTTTGGCTGTTACGTATCAGGTAAAGAACACATGTCTTGAAACTACCAACACTATCAGATCTGTTAAAAGCTATTTTTCACCATTTTAAAAATGTATATTGATTACATCAGAAATACCTGATGAATACTAAAGTCTTCTATATGCCATGTCCCTTCAGTACATCTGTTGGTGATCATGGTTCTCCACAAATTCCTATCCTTTGTACTTCATAGCAATCTTTGTATTTTTACTATCCCTTCTCCTCTCTGCTCTGCCATCCATTTATAAAAGTTATAAACTTATTGTCATCTCCCAAAATTGTCATCATTTTGTTCATGTAATCTTTAAAGACTAATACCACCATGCCCACACTCTTGTCAAGTTTAATAATAACGATAGATTTTCATGGCATAAAAATTTAAGAACATAAGTGTTCACATCACCAACTAAATTCAACATAGTCAATAAGTGTACCAGCATGTGCAAGATCATTAATTTTTGCCTTAAGCACAATGAACTTATTTTCAGATAAGGGCAAAAGCCTGTACAACTGGACAAATAGCACCCCAAATTCAGTTTAAATCTTTTCTCTTCTTTTACTTCCCAAATGTATTTTGGCAGTGCAGTTGCAGTACTTGCTTAGACTGAAATTTATTTTATGATGATAGTATCACTATTTAAATTGGGATTTTGTGGAACCAATATATCATAGTGAGGAGACCTGTAAATTGATGATATTACTCATTAAGCATTATCTATTGAGTGGAAAATTTTCTTGTTTTCTACAATTACAAATTTGTGCATCAGCAGCTGGTTTACTATTTTAAACTTTTTTGTTATGTCTTAAGTAGCTGCAGTAATTATATTTTTCATATTTTATAAAAGCTCTATTTATTATCAAGCACTTTTTATTTAACTGTCAATTTAAAAAAAAATTAGCGTTAATTATCCTATAGAATATAAATTATATATAATGCAATATTTTTGTATGTTTGTGTAACACTTCACAGAATATACAAATACTAAACTCTGTTTCTAGACAAATATAAATTGTATCTCTAGCATGAGTGACTGTTAGCAACATCTTCCCACCTCTTGATGTCCCTTTTGCAGGTCACCTAAGTAAATAACTATATTGGCCCTTGTCTACAATGACTACAATGGTAACAGCTTTGTGTTGCTATTTCTAAGATAGGTAATGTTGTTATGAAAGAATGGTTTCTTCATACTCAATCTGTTCTGTCAATTATCATGGCATGCCAGTGACAATGCATTTTTCAAGATATCTGGTGATAGAACAGAGTGCAGGGAAAAATGGATTCATCATTTCCCAATATCTCAACCAGAATTCAAAGTCTGCTGATTCTGTTTTCTATACAGGCAATCATTGTAATCCACCTTCAGATAATGACAGACTGAAAAAATATTCTTGTACATTTCCCCAGGTTATATTTAAGTGTCAAAGAACTCTATTCCATTAAGCTTTGTATTTTTTTCATTTCAAACATTAAGATTTTTATTAATGTGCTGATATTAAAGTAATTTTAAAAACATATAAGCCAAGTGGTAAGAAATAGTCTTTTTTTCTTCAAAACTGATTTTCCAGTCAGCATTTTTGCAAATTTATATATATATATATATATATATATATATATATATATATATATATATATAACTTTGTGACTGCACAACATTAAAAAAACAAAATGCTGAGCCTAAAGTTTATGTACTCTTTTATTGGCTCACATCCAAGTCAATCATGTTACCTAAACAGTTTGTAGATGGACCAACATCCCTATCAAGTCTCAACCTCACCATTCTCCACAACTAAAGGATAATTATCCATCCCATAGAAACAACAGCAAAGTCACTTGTGCATCTAATTGGGCTAAAATCCAAAGCAAACCTCTTTCTTCATTGGAAAGTTTCAGTTTGTACATCTTGGCAGCTAGAACAGCATAAATGTTATTTTTAGGACAGACAATTTAAAAGGCCACTTACAATTGGCTGTTTAATTTCAAGTAATGGTGATATTGTCCAATCACAAATTATGCTTCATTCAGTGTGTCAACTGGCACTTTCTCCACTGATATAATGCAAAGTTGTGTAGTGCAGTTATTATAAACATTACTTACATAACTAATAAAAATGTATTTTCTGGAAGGATCTTGAATTCCTTTTGACTTGCTAAACTATTTTCTTTTAGTAATGTGGCTTAAATGTTGTCCATAGTCTTCCTGACCAGAGTTAACTTTTAATTATATATATATAAGAAATGAATTGAATAAACATATATATTTTTTTCTTTTCTCAATAATTTTGTAGTTTTTAATAGTGATTAAATTTGGATTTTAAAATTGCCAGTTTTTAATTTTAATATTAAATTTTATCATATAATTTTATAATTATTGGTTAGTATAAATTATTTTTAATATTACACGTATTTTAAGGATCTGAATAGCTATTATAACATGATTTCGTTGTCAAGCTTTTGAATCTTTCTATACGTTGTTTTTGATTGGTTATTCTAGCTTTTGTAACAATGTTTCCCCCTAGTGTAGGATCGTTAATTAATCTGAAACTTTTAAAACCATTTATTTTTTTTCAACATCATCACTTGATAAGACACAGAGTGTGTTGAAAGAAAATGGCTATTTTTGTAGTGATTTTATAACATACTTATGTTATAATTTTTTTTTTATAAAAAATAATTATATATGCGCGCACACACACACACACGTATGACAGTATCCACTACCACTCATATATAGTGCTCTGACCTGGAACAATAAACACAGGTGATAGTATGCTGACTGCTCACAGTTATCTCTTCTTTAGAGCACCTACCGTAGCATGATAGTTATCAAGCTTGTCCTGCAAACCAATTTATGAGTAGTGAATTTGTACCCCATGGTTGCCTTATTATTCTGGCCTTGTGCCAGACAAAGATGTTTTTAGTATGTGTATGTGTAAAAAAAAAAATAAAAAAAGCAACTTGTTTGATTTGTTTAATGTATGAGTTCACATAAAACTGATCATATTTTTAAGAAGCCTAGCTTGGTCTGGCACAAGGTTACAAATTCAGAAAACTCATTGAAGGTTAAACTGACAACATTATGGTAATGGCTTGCTAATCATTACCCAGATGTCAGGTGCCCACTTATAATCTTTAATAGAATAATTAATTGCATAAGCAGGATTATTATTATTTATAATTTGTGCAAAATGAATTGTTACTCATTTTGAAGAGAAAAATTTACTAATATCAGTTTAATGAATAAGGCTCAGTGCAAATTATTTTCTATATTTTGTGTGAGATTTGTCAGTGTACAAGCTTATATTTTCTTTTCTTTTTTCTTCCTTTTTTCTTTTTCACTATTTACTTTTTCCTTTTTCTCCTCTTTCTCTTTGTTTTTTTCATTCTCTTTTTCTCTTTCTCTTTCTCTTTTTCTTTTCTCTCTTCCTTTTCACATCATTGAAACATTTTAAAAAAAATGTAGCAAATTCAAATTTTAAAACAATATATCTTGATTATCAAAAATACAATAACCTATCTATGTAAACCATATGTTAATAAGGTTACAATATTATGTTACAATAACCTATCTGTTGTGAATATGGATTATCTCCTCTTAGATTAACCAAGCTATAAAAGCTGTATACTTCCGCTGTCAAGTCAGATGAGTAGTAGTATTCTTAATTGAATAAACGATTACTAGACAGAATCTCTTGTCCTGTTTTCATTACATTTTATTCAATTAAGAATGGAACAATTTATGCGACCTGAGCGACTTACCACAGATCCAGAAAGCGATTCAGCCGACAAGTGCTGGAAACATTGGCGGGAGACATTTACAAATTTCATCGAGGTTCTACATTCAGAAAGACCGGACGTCCCATCAATAAGCGTGCGCTCCAACCAACTACCTGTCTCACACAGTCAACGAAATTATCTTGGATTAT